TTGTTTAGTGTCTAGACTGTACAATTCGTAGATGTTTTTTTTTTAAAGTTAAACAGAATGCTGTGTACATGGTATTATTTGAAATTTATTGTGTTATGTTATTTTATTAAAGCGAGGAGTGCGAAGATCGTAGATTCCTTCCTTGCCTAAATTGTGCAATTCGTAGAATTTTTTAAAGTTTTAAAACAGAACACTGTGTACATGGTATTGTTTGAAATTTATTGTTATGTTAAGTTTATTTTAAAGCGAGGTGTGCGTTGTAATTTCCTAGATTCCGTATCGTTGCACTACATTGTGCAATTCTCAGATGTTTTTTTAAGTTAAAACAGATAAATGTGTACATGGATTCTTGTCAAATATTTTTGGCTAGAAACTTTATGTTTTTGCTATCTAAATTTTTTGTTTTTGTTTCGGGATTTTGGGCAGCTAAAGTGTGTGTTAAAAATGTGGTTTTTGCATGTGCGAAAACCGCGTTTTTGGAGACATTTTGGGCTAAAAGTTCAAAATGTAGACAAAAAATTTAGATAGTAATATGGCAGCGTGAAGTTTCTCGCCAACAAAACGTAGTTTTTGCATGTGCGAAAACCGCGTTTTTGGAGACATTTTGGGCTAAAAGTTCAAAATGTAGACAAAAAATTTAGATAGTAATATGGCAGCGTGAAGTTTCTCGCCAAAAATATTTGGCGACTTGAGGGCGCATATCAGAGTAGTTCCGAAAAATTTTCATATTGGTCCTCAAGCATTGTTACATTTTGTTAGGGAAATGTTTTGGCCTATTGGTGGCAAGGACTTAGTTAGAAAAACAGTTCACGATGCTCAATTTGTTTTCGTCAAAAACCTATCATTTCAGATCAATTAATGGCTGATTTACCTCCTGAACGTGTAAATCCAAACCTAACCTTTCATAACACAGGAATAGATTTTGCAAGCACTTTTCTAATCAAATATAGAAATCAAAGGAAAAGTAGTTTACATAAAATTTACATAGCAATCTTTGTTTGCTTAGTTACCAAAAAATGATTCATTTAGAAATAGTATTCCAATTAACATCTCAGCATGTTTAAAACGATTTTTCTTGCATAAAGGTAAAAGCTCATGTCTGTTTAGTGACAATGCAATTATTTTTGTAATTGCTCACAAAGAGTCTGCTTCGTCTGCTCACAAAGAGTTAAAGAAACTTGCTTCTTTAGTACCTGTCCCTGATGAAGTTTTGGGTAAGTATTTGGCATCTGAAAATATCTTTTGGAAATTTATTCCTCCTTGTGCCCCCAATTTGGAATTTGGGAGGCCGAAATCAAATCTATTAAATTTCATCTTAAAAGGACTCTTTCCGATGCTAAACTAACCTATGAAGCATTTTTAACCTAATTGATCAAACTGAAGGAATACTAAATTCGAGACCTCTTTCTCCTTTATCGTCTGAACCTTCAGATTACGAACCCTTGACGCCAGGTCACATTTTAATAGGTAGATCCATAAACTCAATTGTAGAACCTCAAATTTTAGATCTGTCAGAAAGCAGATTATCAAGATGGCAAAAATTAACTAAAATGATACAGATTATATGGAAACGATGGATAACTGACTATCTTAATCACTTGCAACAACGAAACAAATGGTATTTTTCAAATGACAATATAAAGAAAAATAAAATGGTTATTATTAAAGATGATCAGTTACTTCCATTTAAATGGTTACTAGGAAGAATTGATCAGACAATTCCTGGTAAAGATGGTAAGATATGAGTAGCAGTCATTAACACAAAGTTTGGTCCAATTAAAAGGCCAATATAAAAAAAATTTGTTTATTGCTTATTGAGGATAACTTCAAGGATTAAGTTTCATTGTTAATAAAAATATACATTGTTCTTTGCTATATTTATATTTTGGTAATTTTGATGAAAAATGTGAATTTTTTTTACTGTTTAAAATGTTTATATCCTTACCGTAATTATTGAAAAAATGTGCAAATATTCAAACTTTATAGAATTTTCTGAATTGTTTATTTCATTCTGTAAATGACTTATTAACTTTAACTCTTTCGTTAATGCTTAAAAAAAATGAATAGCTGAATTGATAGCATTTGATATTGAATTGTATGCTTAGATTTAGTTTGCATATCATAGATACTGCAATGTGGGGTGGTATGTTGCCTCCTACGCAGCAATAAAGTTATGTTCAGCGCAACTTTAACGTTATGTATAGCGCATTGTTTCTGCGCAATTTCAGTTAGTTACGATTCGAACTCCTGGCGTAGCACACACGTTTTGATCCCGTATGGTCGGAAATTCAGCGATTTTGATTTTTTAGTTTTGATACAGTCCAACTAAATAAAATTGGTTGTTGTTATAAAGTTGTCGTTAATATATAGTAGGACCAGCGACCTCAGAACAAAAGTGCTTTGATTTGTCGCAAAAATTTTAGGTGTAGTTTGGCGGCACTTAAAAACCGCTAAATCTGCAGCTGCGTTGGTATTAATATGCAAATACAGTCAAAAGTCGTTAATCCGGACTCGTCGGGACTTCGGCGATTCCGGATTATCGATCATCAGTTTAAATCTCGTAAGATGGCATGCAGAAATTATAAAATTAAAAATATGAAACCGTAATTTATGAAATAAAGAACAATTATGATCTAAAGGGTATCAAAATTTGCAAAAAGAAAAAGCTTAATATTTATTTGTTTACTTTATTAAACATTTCTTTAAATGTAAGTTGTTTAAGTTTTGCTTCGTTTCATGTGATAATACTTTCTCTTTAATTCTATTAAACAGACATAATTTCTTGTTCAGTTACAAAGTTCCGCCGTTCAAGTCCTATAATTGCTGTTTCAAGAACACCGACTAATTTGTCAATCGAAATTTTTTTGTTTTCAATAACCTCTGTCACTTTTCTTCGCTATCGGAAGCGAATTATAATGACGAGGAACTTGTTTTAAATCATATCAAAGATGGAGCATATCGAGATGAAATACTACATTTGGTAAGGAATTATAAGCCAAATAAAATAAAAACATCTGCGCTGAAGATAAGGATAGTGCTGACAAATCAACTTCCAATTCATTAGGCGCCCGCCGCCGAGCAGCGTGAAACTGATAAACAGATTTCGGATTTCAAAACATACTTTCGCTTTAGATCCTTTACATATTAACAAATATATATCGGAAATTCTATTTGATATAATCGAAAGTTTAAGCTTACTTTTATAAAATTGCTCTTACAGTCTGCAAAAAATAATAAGCAGGATGCAATTCGAAAATTAAGGAACAACGCAATCATCAACATTAACTGAAATAGATAATTAGATAATTTTAGCTTATACGTACATTATACATAAAATGCGCACGCGAAAACGTATTCTGCACTTGCGCACACTCATATGCGCAGTCGTAAAAGGTCTTACACGCACGCGTGAATGCCTCTGCGCATGTGTCAACGTGGCGCATGCGCAGAAAGTTTTTAGTTTTGATGTCCGGATTATAGATCATTCCGAATTAACGACTTTTGACTGTACCTTATTTATTTGTTCAATTAAAATAAACTACATTTACTAAATTAATTCCAATAAATAAGTTCAATCAATTTTATATTAACTTTGGGTACAACTCTGATATACGCCTTAATTTTACCAAATGTGGCGATATGTGTTCTGCGCTGGTTTTTGACGCGACTGCGAGTTGTATGGCAACCCTGTTGATGTTGAAAAGTCTTTCGCTGGAGTTCGTTGGTTCCCGTCATGCTTTGTGTCTGAGAAGCTAGGGTGAAAAGATTTAATGGTGAAAGTTGTTGAATTGAAGTTCGGCATAAGGAAATATCGTCGTGGTCATCCTGTTGAGGGGCAATGGATATTTGGAGGTGTGGAAAGAAGGTATGGGAGATTATTTTTAGTGGTTGTGTGTGATAGAAGTAGGGATTTGTGATTATTTGTTATTTTATTTATTTGTGAACCATAGTATGAATTTTCTGGATAGTGTGTCTGGCTGTCATATAAATACGATACTAGTGATTACGTGGCAGCATGTTAAAGGCGGTATGAAATTGGTATATCTGCTCTTCGAAAAAGCATTAATGGTAAGTGCATTTTATTTTATTCTTGTTCTTATTTTGTAGAATATAATGTTCATTGTTTTTTTTAGTATGAATTTCTGTCGTTATTGTTGTTTTTTTGAATTGTTTGAAATTTATTTTAGTTATTTTGTTGATTAGTGCGTACCATCTGAATTGTGCAATTCGTAGATGTTTTTTAAAGTTGAAACAGAATGCTGTGTACATGGTATTCTTTGAAATTTATTATTGTTATGTTAATTTATTAAAGTAAAGTGAGCGTAGTTCGTAAATTCGTTTGTTGCCTAAATTGTGCAATTTGTAGATGTTTTTTTAAGTTGAAACAGGATGCTGTGTACATGGTATTCTTTGAAATTTACTGTTATGTTAAAATTAAAACATTTCGCTGTGTACATGGACTCTTGTAAAATAATTTTGGTTAGAAACTTCACGGTTTTGCTATCTAAATTTTTTGTTTCGGATTTTTAGCTTAAATTGTGTGTTCAAAACGTGGTTTTTGCATTCGCGAAAACCGTGTTTTTGGAGACATTTTAGGCTTAAAGTTCGAAATGTAGATAGCAATATGGCAGCGTGGAGTTTCTCGCCAAAAATATTGGCGAGAAATTTGGCGCCTTGAGGGCGCATATCAGAGTAGTTCCTAACTTTGAAATAAAAACTATTATATGAATGAACTAACTATGAATAAAACAGAAAAATTATCACTCGTGGAGCATGATGTTTAACCTTAAAAGCTCCTTTATTCGTTATAATAGCTACAGCTTTAAAAGATTCATCTTTTACTAAAACATTTTGGAAATGTTAAAGTGATAAATTAAGTATTTATAATCCTGCTTGAGTGCTCCAGACATTATGTATGATGTTTTTAGTAATCATCAGATGTACAAGTTTTACAAAGACAGCCTCATCAAGTTTAACAAAAATTTGATATGAAACCTTACCTGGGATTTTTCATTAGAGGCTTTCAAGCGAGTTGTGGAAAATTTCTCCTCGTCAGTTTCTTCAAGAGTTTTAGCATTGGAAAAACTATCTTGGTTTGAGTTTGTTTCATCTGCAGTATTGCACTTTACATCTAAATTCTCACACTCAAAAAGTTCTTCTCTGCCATTTACCTCCAGACCAAAATTAACTTTTGAAGTTTCAGTTTCTCCTTCAGCTTCAGCTTCAGAAACAACATCCACTTCTACAGATTCATTTTCATTCACATTTAAACAATTAACAATAGTTCGATGAGGACATATATCATACACTTTAGGCTTGAAAAAGAGGAAACATTTGTAACGTAAATATTTGAGTTTGGATTTTCGAAATCCAACAGGAATTTCTGAAGCTTTTGAAGATGCATTTCTGTCTGAAGCAACTTCTACTTCTTCAAAATCTCCTTCATCAAAAGGAGCATCTGAAACCTCTTCAGTTTCAACAGTAGTGGGGGTACTAATATTTAATTCTGGTACATAATCTAGATTTTGCCAGTGATACAAATTGGAACCTTCAAAGTTGCTTTGTTCTTCATGTCTAGATCTTTTCTCTCTCTCTGACTCTTGCTTTTCACTGTGCCATACCTTGCTTTGTTTTTCATTAGAGACAAGCACATGAAGATTTTCAGGATTTCTACCAAATCCTCTCTGACTAGATCTCAGATTTCTGTCAGAAAATCGTTGGATAGGTTGTGATGAAGTTGATTTTCTTGACATTTTCACAGTATCAGCATAACATCATATTAATGAAACTTTAAAATCTAAAAAAAGAAATACAATTATTTTAACATATTATGCAAAAAGAATACAAAATAATTTTAAAAAGAAATCTAAAAGGTTTCAGATTTTAAATTACATCCAAAGGAGCTTTTTAACATTTTGTGTGCTACCTTTATTTATTAAATATCATGTTCTTTGCACTTAAACCATAAAATTGAGTTCAATAAAAAAGGTTGGATATTTTCTACAGGGGAGATATAAAAATAATTGGTACAACTCTAATATACACCCTAATTTCACCAAATGTGGCGATATGTGTTCTGCGCTGGTTTTTGGCGCGATTGCGTGTTCTATGGCAACCCTGTTGACTTTCGCTGGAGCTCGTTGGTTCGCCTCTGTGTCTGAGAAGATGGGAGGGAAAGATAAAATGGTAGTTGTTGAATTGAAGTTCGGCAAAAGGAAATATCATTGTGGCTATCCTGTTGAGAGGTAGTGGGTATTTGGAAGTGTGGAAAGAGAGTCTGGGAGATTATTTTTAATGGCAGTGCATGATAGAAGTAGGGATTTGTGATTTTTATTTATTTGTGAACCATAGTATAAATTTTCTGGATAGTGTGTCTGGCTGTCATGTAAATACGATAGTGGTTACGTGGCGGCATGTTAAGGCGGTATGAAATTGGTATTTCTGCTATTCGAAAAATGCATTAATTCATGGTAAGTGCATTTTATTTTATCCTTGTTCTTATTTTGTAGAATGTTATGTTCATTGGTTCTTTAGTATGAATTTCTGTCGTTTATTGTTTTTTTTTTAATTGTTTGAAATTATTTTAGTTTATTTTGTTGTTTAGTGTCTAGACTGTACAATTCGTAGATGTTTTTTAAAGTTGAAACAGAACGCTGTGTACATGGTATTATTTGAAATTTATTTTTGTTATGTTATTTTATTAAAGCGAGGAGTGCGTAGATTCCTTTCTTGCCTAAATTGTGCAATTTGTAGAATTTTTTTTAAGTTTAAACAGGATGCTGTGTACATGGTATTCTTTGAAATTTGTTGTTGTTATGTTAATTTATTAAAGCGAGGTGTGCGTAGTTTGTAGATTCGTTCGTTGCCTACATAGATGCCATTCATAGATGTTTTTTTAAGTTAAAACATGTCGCTGTGTACATGGATTCTTGTGAAATATTTTTGGTTAGAAACTTTACGTTTTTGCTATCTAAATTTTTTGTTTTTGTTTCGGATTTTTAGCTAAATTGTGTGTTCAAACGTAGTTTTTGCATGTGCGAAAACTTGTGCACTTGCTCACACGCATCTGCGCAGTCGTAAAGGTCTTACGCCAACGCGTAAACGCCTATGCGCATGTGTCAACGCGGCGCATGCGCAGAAAGTTTTTAGCTTTGAGGTCCGGATTATGGGTGTCCGAATTAACGACATTTAACATTTGCCTGTGACTGTATTAAGTCACAGGCAAATGTTAAATGTTTTTTAGACAATGTGTGTTTTTCCTTGCACTGATGAGTAATGAGGTCTTTTTAACTGTCCTAGCCACATTATATGTTAATAACACAGTAACATTTAATTTTTTCACAGCAAGCTGACAACTCGTGTTAAAACATTAAAGTGTGTTGTGGCTCATTAATAAAGACCAGTCTCATCTGTGTTAAAACTTTGATGTGGTTTATATTATTGCAAAAGTCTGGCTAAATTCTTTCCTTCCAGGGCTTCATTAGAGACCATATTGTTTCTCTCCATATAATTTTCTGAAAATGAAATCATTTCTTTCCATCTTGTGACCCTTCCAAAAGTAAGGGCAAATTCGTCTCCCAGAATTTTAGCGAATTCTGCTGCCTTTTGATTCTGGATTTCTCGCGATATTGTAGCGTTCTTGTCCCTGGCATCTCAAAAATAAATTTCTACATTAGTAGACTTTCCACTCAGCTCCCGTGAGACATTTGCACTTGCCATCAATTTTTAAGAAGGAAAAAAAAAAAAAAAATTATGTTGTTGAAAAGAACTCTTCTTTTCAACAACATATATAATGCAGATTGTGAAATTTCGCAATGTACAGAAGCTTCACATTGACCACTAGATGCATTTCGGTAAAGCATCCTATTCCTTCTACAATTCTTTATCTTTTAAGCTTAAGTCCTTGTGTTTGGACATTCTGAGGCATGAATGACCAAACAACAAAAGCACAATATAGATGCGTGAACTGAACAAACTGTGCAAGCAAAAAAACACAATATTTTATGCATAGTCTACTTCATGTCTTTTCTCTCTCTTTTTTTTTTTTTTTTTTTACATTTCCACTTTCCCCCAACTGGTAAGCCAGTTCTGACAAACTTCTTGTAACCCCTCCCTCATTCACTTCTACTCTAGATAAAAAAATTCTTGCACTTGCAGCTCCCCATGTAAAAGTGAATCAACCTTGAATGAAATCACTGACCCTGAAATACAAACTTAGGTCTTTTGCGAATTCCAGATAAGAAAATTCAAGCATTTACACCTCCACGTGTGAAAGAGAATTGATTTTAAAGAAAATCACTAAACTTGAAACACAAACTTAGAGCTTTGACCCCACTTTGATTTTTATAAGCAGCAATGTTGATTTTATTAAACAGTTACTTTATAATGATGGTGTGGTGTATTTAATTATGGCAAAGCACACTAGGGCTATCTGCCTAAGGGGAGGGATGCCTTTCATGGAGGACTTTCTAAGGGAAACTGGCTCGTATACATGTTACACATGGGGAAAACCACGAAAACGCCCATGCATCCAGCCCGTTCGTGGGATTCGAACCTCGGACCGAACTACCAGTGTTCAGCGTCTTTACCGCTCGGCTGCTGGTGGGCACTTTATAATGATATTGTATTTATTTGAATTCGTTCTCTGGGTTTTGATTTTGACAAGTGGTTGATTTCATAAAGCACTGACTTTATTGCACTATACTGCTGTATAAATGCAAACTAAACTTTGATTGAATTATTAATTATATTTTAAGTGTCAGTTTACTCCTTTTTTAAAACATCAATAATAATGCATACTGTTTCAGAACTGCAACAATAATTATCTTTCAGGTGTCAGTTTAATCCTTTTTTAAAATATTAATTATAATACAATACGAATAACAATACATTTCAAATTATAGATGGGTATGTAATTATTCGTTAACTCATTAAATTTCCTGGTCGGATGCATAATGTTTGCAGATAGTGTTTATCTCAGATGCATAATACTTGTTTAAATACAATCATAGATGATATTTATAATTACATAATAAACAAATAAAACACAATTTCTAATTACAAAAAAAAAAAAAAAAAAAAAAAAAGTAAACATGTACATAAACACAATACAAAACTAAATAAATATGTACATAAACACAATCTTTTATTGCACAGTTAATTATCGACAAGCTACTTCACAAATACATATACTATAAATACATGCTCAGTAATACAGGAAAATATTATGGCAGTAGTAAATCTGAATTCCAGCAATAACGTTGAATTCGTACATGGAAAAATTACACATCTGTTAAGCCTAACAGCATTTACAGCTTTCACTAAATTTCCCTGTCTCAAAACAGTTCTCATTCCAAAAGCAAGTTACCAGTATATTTTCAAAAATAATAAAATTCCTACAATTATAAATACAAATAACTTACATTTCAATTCAAAATATGTGCAGTAACAAAGCTGGACATATAATCGTACAACTTTAGTTTTAGTTGAGTTGAGGAGTTTCTCTTAAAACACGAGAAAAAAATCAAACTAAAAACAAAAACCAACATTTTATAATCCCTTTTATTCACATTTTTTTTTTTTTAATTTTCCTTAACATTAGAATACTTTCCTAATACATTATAAATATGACTTGAATGAGGAAATCGAACAGTGATACCTCATTACATATGTTCCCTGTCAGCTACTTAATGGCCCATTTACACTAACGGAATTTTGAGCCTAAGAAACGCAGGCGAATTTGAAGACTGGTTTGAGAACTTTTAAACAGCAATTTTTTCGTATTATGAGGGAATATTTAACTCTTAAACTCTTGAATAATGTTATAAGTTAGGCTGTTTATTTAAATGTGTACATATTCAGTTTCAGTTAAAAAAAAAAAAAGTAACATTTTCGCCATTTAGTGAAGCTAGCAACTTCCGCGTGCATTTCTTAGACTCAAAGTTCCGCTAGTGTAAATGGGCTTTTATGAATGAATACTAATCTGGTTAAGTGTAAGGAAGTAAATCGCGAGGATTATTTGTCTTCGTGAAGGGTTGGCTCTGATTAACGCTACATAGAGACAGAGCAGTACTATTATTATTGGATGGATTAAACTCCGTGGAACAGTGTACTCATGCATCAATAACAAAAAAGAATTAGAACAAGAAGTCTCATAATTTACCAACTGCATCAATTCTGCTTTAAGAGAAGCCACCAATACTTTTTACGTGAACAAGCCTTTCCTCCCCTGCCTGCCCCGATATAAGGAATAGCATTAAAGAGAAAAACTGGCTCCATAAAAGATGGAAAACCACCAGGTATCCACAACTCAAACGCGAATTAAACTCTATGCAAAAAGAAATCAACAGAAGGATCAAGAACTTCAAGAGCAAGAAGAATTAAGAACAAGAAGAAAAACCAAAAATGGACCAATTTCCTAAATAACAGAGCTATACAAGATAATTTCCTATTTGGCATTTCCCGAATATTCAAGAAATCTTATAAACCTATCCTACCTATCCATGGATTTAGTGGAATTTCATATACAGAAGAAGATAAAGCTAAATGTTTTGCGGACTATATGGAAGATACATTCCAAGGAGGTTAGAATAGAAGGAGGGAAGGTTCAACTCAAACGGTGAAGCTTGGCGGCCATCTTCCTGTTATCACCGTGACTTGTGCAAGGAAGTCTGTCATTGCAACATTTTTTTCTTTTCTTTCTGAAGCATGTCAGCTTGTATTGCATATGGATGCACATTTAGATTCTCGAAAAAAATTCCGGGCATTATTTTTCACACGTAAGTATTAATTTTCTTTTTTTATGTAATATGACAACTATGTCAAAAATTATCACAATGTCATGTGGTTTTCTTTCCAGATGGGAAAAAAATAGGGACTTAAATAATCAAAATAGGTTATTTAATATAACTATAATCAAAATATATTAAATACATTTTCAATGTTTCTGTTTATAGCTGGTATCTTCGTTCCTTAAGATACAATGCTATATGGTAGGATTTAAATTTTATAATTTGAACGTTTTAGTTAATTCGTTTTATAACTTTCATGAAAAGTAAGAAATCAATTGTTACTATTTATTAATTGTAAAGGTGTTAAATAAAAGCAATACTTTTCTTTATATATTAATTATTATTCATTTTTTTAAGTTAAGATAAACTGTTCTGTTGTTAAAAATTTTTTGCATAAACTTACAAATTTCTGGGCAGTATAGTGATAAAATTAAGTAAAATATTTACCCAATTGAACATGTGGAAAGATGTATCCAAAAACTTATATTTCTGTGTATTTCTGTAATTCAACTTAATTAAAGGCAGTTTCGAGATTAAGAAATATGAAATGCGCATAAACTGAAATCAATGAATTCACACAAATCTGTTTTATTTTATTAAGATTTATTTTCTAACCTAAGCAAATCCGTGAAATATGCAGAAATATCATTTTTTAAAGGCTTTAATGTTATGCGCATGCATTTAGATTTCGAACTATTTCTTAATAATTTGCTGTACATAGTAAATTATGGATATCATCTTTTATTACTTTAAAACAAAAATTCAACAATAGCGAGGGATTTCATTATAAATTTAACATATTTTTTACTGGAAAAAAATGCACGGAAAGCACGGAACAGGTTAGAAACACGTACATGTCACTGCCGTAATGCAATGTTTTGAAGTCACAAACATGGACGCCGCTTGTTCGGCGAAGTTTCATTCCCCGATTGTGGAGGAAACCGCGAACCCTCCCTCCTTCTATTCTAACCTCCTTGATACATTCAGGTTACGTTACTTCTCGTCCTTCAGCGCATGCTCAAGAATTACCATCCAGGTGAAACTAGTCGATTTTTCCATGATGTCAAAAATTCCAAAAGGTGGGTAGGGTTAAGTGTAAGTGATTGCTAATTTGGCAGTCTTATCCCTTGTGATTAGCATTCGACCAATCGAAGAATAGAAATTATATTACTTCTTAGCAGACGCTCTACCAATGGAAAGATTGAATTTTGAAATTTGAGATGGCATCAAGATTTTCTAAAGTGCCGAAATTTTTCCTGTATGCAAACAAACAATTAGAGGATAAGATAACTTGAATCTGAAAATCGTGTTTCATATGAATTTATCCATTATAGTTTTAATTTAAAGAGTCTAAGGCTAAGCACTGTATTTGAAATTTAGGTACAGATATGTTATTTATGAATTCGAACTAAGCGATATCAATATTTAGCTGTTATCAGTGTACCGCTAAGGAAATGAAATTAAGAAATGCGACCGCAGCTATGCGTCGCAAGTACTTGAAAGAGCATTTTTGCAAAAGCTTTTGTTTGCAAAGGGTTTACTAAGTTAACTCCCAATTTCAGATTGTAATTCTTTGTTTGCTTTAAAATTTAGGATTATAAAATGCGCTCTTTATTTAATCTTAAATTGCTTAAAATAAATAGGATATAAACATTGTTTCAGTTCTTAAATATGTTACATGGAAAGCTTTTTATTATTATTTTCAAAAGCATTTTTTATATTTTGGCTATAAGTAATCGACATCCGTGCTGTTATCGTTGATGATGATAATGCTGACCACTTAGTTTTCCTGAAAAATATTAACTGATTTCTTTTTATTTTAGATTAATTAATTCCCTTTCATGATGTTTATAAGTGTCATTTGGTTTTTGGTGCTATTAGAAGGTTTGTTTTTTACTTTCATTATTCCATTTCGTTAATTTTTTTTCCTTAATTTTTTTTTTTTTTTTTTTCCTTGTCCTACTTTGTTCATGTTTTGCTGTTTTTATATCAGGTTTGAATTCTGAAGATATAACTCCATGTTCATCACGGCTTACTTGTGGAACATGCATTGCTTCTCCAAATTGTGCTTGGTGTTCAGAAAGGGTGAGATAAAAAATAATCTCTCTTAATTAGGTAGCTTTACATAAATGTTTTTAATGTAAATTTTAAGTTTATTTGAATATGGAGAGAAATAATCAGGTATACACATTGTTATTAATAAAAATATATAAATCTGAAATTTTTAGCTTAAATTTTAATGTTATGGTAAAATTTAATGTTATGGTAAAATTTAAGATCTAGTTTTAATGATTTATTTAATATCATATCTTTCTGATTACAACTGTTTCAAGCAAGTGTGGTGTTTGTTTTTTTAATTAAGCTTATTTTATTGAGAAAAGTATTATGTCAATTAAATAATCATTAATTTCAGTTTGGTGTGAAATCTGTTAGATTTAAATATGATGGCTTAAAAAGTGGACATAAAAGAAAAATTCAATTCAGATATAATGGAATAAAAAAATAAATATTGAAGAAAAATTTATAAAATGTTTATGTAGGCTATTTTTAACATATAGTTTTGATGCTAAAGCATTTTTGGGTTTTAATAAATAAAACAAAAGCTTATCATATAGTAACTTATAACTGAGGGATTTATTATATAATAAATTATTAATGCATAAGTAATTTATTAGTTATATCATGGTGTTACTATAAGCATATGCAAGTAAAGTACTTGAGCTTTCTTTGCATGAGTGATATGAATACTGAAAGGGATGGCCAAAATATGCAGTCTTTTAAAATATGATTTCTATTAATCGTGTTAAATGTTGCCCATATTTAAAAAGGAAAATAAAGTGAAATAGTTAGTCATTTTATATAGAATAATTATATTAATTTTTTTTTGAAATAGGAAATTTGATGGAACTTGGATTTGAAATAGGAAATTTAAAAGAACCTAAAATACTAAGGTTAAATTAAAATTAGTTAGTGGTGATTTTATGATTAGCTATAATGAAAATAATTAATGGGAAAATGTTATATTATTTTTATATAATACATATTTAAAAATTTTGTATAATCTCTGTGCCATTTCTGTACTTTGTGTTTTTCAAACTTCTGTTTTACTAAAATAAGGTATGTTTTAAAAAGTAACTATATATAAAAATTTGAATATTTGTTTATTTCTATGTTATTAAAATTTAAAATGAGTAAATTTAATAATTCTTGCTGCTTCTGTAAAATACGCAAGCATGTTATAATAAAAGGCAATTATTTTAAATGGAGATGGATAATATTTCCTAATTTAATCAATTGCTGAGAACCAGCTTTCTAGTTGTGCATATGTATAGCCATAAATGGATTTCTTTGAAGTTGTATTGGAGATTTGTATTCGTATAGCCAGTTGTAGGACATCTCTGTAAACATGCATCTAGAGCAGAGGTGTCAAACTGGCAGCTGACAAAGACAGTTCAATTATGGTGCCGTGAAGATTTCAAACTTATTATTTGAAATCCTAATTTATATTATTTTCATTTTCATTGAAAATGAACATGAATTATGCATCAGAAAATCTGTAAATGGAGCTAATTAGTTTATAATATGATATAAATCTTATTTAAAGATTTCAAGGTACAGATTTTATTACCATTTATTTGTACTCGTAAAAAAAAAATAGGCTTGTTATGGGTTTTTGCAGTAGGAGTAATCTCTTTGTTTGGGAATACAATTTATATGCAAACAACTTTTATCACATTTGAAAATTTAAAAGAAAAGAATACGATTGGCCAATGAGCATACACAATCCATAATGAAGATAATTTCTAGTAATTTCTTTGCAAGACTACAAGCTTTATCGGATACGAAACAGTATCAAGCTGTAGTAAGCAATAAAGAAGTTCTTAATTATTTACATATAAATACATATTTTTTAAGTTATGCTTCAAATTAAAATTTAATAAATAAAAACTACAGACTAGGTTGTTATTACAGTCAAAAGTCGTTAATTCGGACACCCTGATGCATGCGCAGAAAGTTTGTAGGCTGTGAATATGCGTGTGCGCATGCACAAAATACGTTTAATGTGTAATGGCCGGTATAAGCTAAGCTAAAATTATCTAATTCAGTTAATGTTGCAGATTACGTTTTTCCTTAATCTTTGAATTGGATTCGGCTTATTATTTTTGCAGACTGTTAGAGCAATTTTATAAAAGTAAGCTTGAACATTCGATTATGTCAAATAGAATTTCTGATATATATTTACTAATACGTAAAGGATCTACAAAGCGAAAGTATGTTTCGAAGTCCATTAAACAAAAAATGGAATTGCTGCAAAAAATGGATAAAGGCATATCCTTTGTTTATCTAAACTTTAATGTTTGTTTATCTAAACTTTGTTTATCTTTAACGCGGCGGCAGGCGCACAATGAATTGGAAGTTGATCTGTCAGCACTATCCTTATCTTCAGGGCAGATGTTTTTATTTTATTTGGCTTATAATTCCTTACTAAATGTAGTATTTCATCTCGATGTACTCGGTCTTTGATATGATTTAAATCAAATTCCTCGTCATTATAATTCGCTTCCGATAGCGAAGAAAGTGACAGAGGTTATTGAAAACGAAAAAATTCGATTGACAAATTAGTCGGTATTTTCGACAACTTGAACAGCGGAACTTTGTAACTGAACAAGAAATTATGTCTGTTTACAGAATTAAAGAGAATGTATTATCACATAAAAAACTAAACAACTTACATTGAAAGAAATGTTTAATAAAGGAAACAAATAAAAATTAAGGGAATGCTATGCTGGATGAGTGTTGAAACTTGTTGAATGGAGATTCTTTTCCAAACTTTGTGTCTAAGTAAGCCTTCAGATATTCAGTGAAATGCACAAATTGTGTACTGACAACAGTATAATGATATATAAAGTAAATGAATGAAGTATATGCTATGAACAAAATGGAATGATTTAGTTCTTAAAGATGTAGTTAATACAAATTTATGTAAAGAAATTAAAATTTATATTTTGTTTAAAGATTTATATTCCAGTCTTCTTTATTACCATATTTGCTTGTGTATTTTTATCCTTATTTTGCTAATTTTGTCATCTGAAAATCAAGAAGGGAAAATTATGCAAATAATTTAATTTCTCTTTCTAATGTGGTTACAATAAGAGCATAATAAATAAAAAGTCAGTGGTTAACTACAGGAACCTATTACAATACTAATTTTTATAAAAGAAACATGCATTTCAATACATAGTACAGTCAAAAGTCGTTAATCCGGATTCGTCGGGACTTTGGTGATTCCGGATTATAGATCATCAGTTTAAATCTGGTAAGATGGCATGCAGAAATTATAAAATTAAAAATATGAAACCGTAATTTATGAAATAAAGAACAATTATGATCTAAAGGGTATCAAAATTTGCAAAAAGAAAAAGCTTAATATTTATTTGTTTACTTTATTAAACATTTCTTTAAATGTAAGTTGTTTAAGTTGCTTCGTTTTATGTGATAATACTTTCTCTTTAATTCTATAAATAGACATAATTTCTTGTTCTGGTACAAAGTTTCGCTGTTCAAGTCCTATAATTGCTGTGTCGAGAATACCGACTAATTTGTCAATCGAAATTTCTTAGTTTTCAATCACCTCTGTGTCACTTTCTTCACTATCGGAAGCGAATTATAATGATGAGGAATTTGATTTAAATTTTATCAAAGACGGAGTACATCGAGATGAAATACTACATTTAGTAAAGAATTATAAGCCAAATAAAATGAAAACATATACCCTGAAGATAAGGATAGTGCTGACAGATCAACTTCCAAATCATTGTGTGCCGCGGCATTAATGCATTATTAATGCAAGTATTTTCAGAATGTTTATTTTGAAGTACTGTGGGGCCTAATGTAATGCTCTTGTAAGACTTAGATGTAATAAAGTTGTGGAAATGTTGATTGCATAGATATTGATCCATAATCAAGAGCAAACTTGGTTGTCGAGGCATATTAAATATGCATTTCTTATTTCAACTGACATTTGCAGCTACAAATAACTCAGCATTATAACCATGCCTGTTCTAGAACATTTACATTTTTGATATTATTGTGAGTGAAAGCAGCAGTCTACTTAGGCTGAGGAGCAGATAACAGCTTAGTAGAAGAAAGGTTTTGATTCAATATTGGAAGTAGCTATGTAATCATCATTATGTAAAAGTCATTTGATTGTATAAATCTAGAACTGTTGCAATAAAGAAAAAGAAGTGTTTTTAGAATAGAGAGGGGAAATATTTAAACATGAGAAATTAAGAGGCTGTTGCTAATTTAAATTTTAATTTATATTTACATATTTTTCATTTTCCATATATATATATACATGATCAATCTTGTGTTTGTTTTTATTTATATGCTTCTGTAAAAGGGTAACAGACTTTAAGGAGTTTTGCGTATCACATGCAATAGAATTTTAAACTTTATTATGTTAGCAATTTTTAGAACTTAATTTGCAGTCTGTTGTTTTAAACTCTTACTTGTATAGTTTTTAATTTTTAACATTTGTTAAACATGAAATATCTAAATTTATTGCTAATGTTGTTGCTATTTTTTTAAAGGTTTACAAAAGAGGAGCGTCTAGATGTGATATTATAGAAAATCTCCTTGAAAAAGGCTGTTCTAAGAAAAATATCATCAGTCCTTCAACAGTGTCTGAGATTTTAGTGGTTTGTTATTGGCATTATCTGCTTTTATTGTTTTTAATATGCGATAGAAAAAATTAAGAACTTATTGGTGGGAAAATTATTATAATGTTATTAAAATTTTTTATTCCAACCATGAAGCTAGAACTGTTTATGACTAATACATGAAGAAAGTCAAAACATGTACCTAAAGTTTTTTACTTATGCAAAAATTTGATAGATAAGCATAAAAACCTGCAGTCTAATTATAAAAAAATCAGAAAACAGACCTTTCATTTTCATGCTTTGGTGTATAAATTGCAAGTCAAAAGATGGCAAATTGATCAAAGGCTTAAACTAAGAAATGCTGGTAAATCTTGTCTATCTAATTGAGTTTTTGTGAGCCCCTTCCATATGTGATAGATATAAAAACTACTGTTCAGATGGGGTATTAGTTATGCTGACTGTTGTACTGAAGGGCCTGGATTTGAATCCTGAAGAAGGCATTAATGGTTGTAAGTGTATAGTGTCTGTGTGGCAAGGGGACACTCACAGCTGAAGTTCTCTTGAGAGGTTGATGGTTGGAGAAAAGGTGTGTGGCACTGTGATGGCATTCTGGGGTGTTCTCCTTCAGAATTCTATCCAGGTAGGAAACTTCACAGTTAGCAAGGCCCAGTGATACTTGATATGCCTAATTTAATACACAAGTGCAGACTTTCTTTTAACTTGTACCTGTAAATATCAAATAAGGACTGTGTTCCATAAAAGGTCCTATAGGATGCAGTGTAAGTAATCTGCCTAATCTTTCGTAGGCATATACCCATAGTGTGCATTGCAATTATTAGCAAATCTTACCATAATAAATTTTTACAAAACCATCCACATATTTTTCACTTTACTAATGTAGCTCTCTTCTTACATTCATGCACACAACTTTATAAGTAACATAATTATTACATACAATATTGCAGTAACATTCATATCAGTATTGAGCTTTTTTATAGTCTTTTTCCTGTAGTTTGTGCACACCATATGTACTGTGAATTATTCACTATATATACAATTACCAGTCCTATATTATCAAGTGCTTATTACTAAGCGGCCATACTTGGATATCAGTAAGCTAGAATATTGGTAATGTGCTAATTCCCAAATTTCATGCGAGTTATATCATTTTGTAGATTTTAAAGTTTTATGTAGAATATTTAAAATAAATGTAAAATAATGCTTTCATCTGTGCAAAATTTTATGAAATTATGAAAATGCCCAGAAATGTTTATTAATTTATTTTTATAGTTAGTAAAGTAACTAAAGCTTTTATTTCCACAAATAATGCTACATAGTCCCTTGTTCTTATGTGTTGTTAAAATAACTGAGTGATGTTAATTATTTTTAAAGGAGCTTTTTCTTTTTTATATGTTTGGAATTAGAAGAATATTTTTAGTATTTTTAAGAAAGTTCTAAAACATATTATTTGTAGCAGTTCCTTCACGAGTCTTAAGAAATAGAAATGGGTTACTGATGATATCAGATGACCAAACAGCATAGCGAATGAAAAAATTCTGATGTGGACACCACTGGACCTCCTTGTACAATCTATTAAAATTATACACATTTTTTGCAGCACTGCATTTTAATTTATTTCTTTGAATTAAAAATTAACCAACCCCTGAAGTTGAAAAAGACAAAAAAACTGCAAATTTTGAAATTAAATAACCCAATCAGTTTTGTTGTACAGTGAATTAAACGTGTTTAATTTTTATTTTTTTCATAACGAGTATAAAACTTTCCCAAATTTAAGTTTAGGAATTGGAAGGCCATATTAAAAGTTATATTTTGCTATTTATGCAAAATAATTTAAAAAAAAATTTAACATTATCAAAACACGAATATTTTCATCATTTAAAACAGCTCTGTAATTGGAAATACAGGACTAGGACTAACAATTGCAAAATAAAGAGCAGGTAAAGACTTTAAAGCTGGGTAAGGGAAGTGTGTATATATACATATAAAAGATGCACACACAACACACTTTTGGTACAGCCGATTGCAGTAAAAATGGTAGGTGTTAACTAGATATTATAGCAAAATCTTCAGTGGTATAAGGCTAATTGTTTTTGAGTTATAGGAGGTACGTACATGTGTACAGATGTCACAGAAAACTCCATTTTTGAATCCATTTTAGAATAAAGAGTCCTTTATTCTCTTTATGCATACAAATATTATGCAAAAAAAAAAAAAAAATAGTCAAAAGAGATTGGGGAGTGGTCAAAATGGATATTTCTTTTGATAGTTGAAACTTTTCTCGATTACAATATTTTATTTCGTACAAGGAAGTAAAAATGAGATCCTAAAACTGATTTATAAGTGAAATTATTTTCTGTTTACTTGTCAGACTTTTAAAGAAGTTTCAGAAAGGCACGAAATTTATCCAGGTTTTTTGTTGCCATTGTATTTACATTGCAGTTTTCCCCTTCATTTGTAACATAAGAAATCTTTGGTTTACCGATGACTAAAGGAGATAATTTTTAAGAGTCATTAGTATACAATAAAATAAGATCACTTCTCTCTTTATTTGTCTTCCTATTGCAACAGTTGCTGAGCTCAGGCATAAATACAGCAGTTATGCTCCCATATATACAGATGGATCCAAGTCAACTGATCATGTTGGGATGGCATTTGCAATTTGAGACTACATGGAAGGCAGATGTTTGCATCACACTTCCTCAGTCTTAACATCAGAACTATCTGCTATTTATTCTGTGCTTCTGTACACATCAAATTTATGCTATAAAAATTCATAATCTATACAGACTCATACAGTGCTTTGAAGCTTTTAGAATCTGTTTCCAGCACTCATAGTCATGTTGTTGTTGGCATTCTCAAGTTAACTTTAAAGTTGCAAAAGCATGGTTACAAAATTCTGTACTACCGGCTCTCTGGCCATGTTGATATCAGGAGAAACGAACTGGCAGATATTGCAGCCAAATCTGCTGTTGATTTATGCAGGCAGCATGTTCCTCTGACAGAATTTAAGAAGCTTATCTGGAGAAAAATTCTAGAGAAGTGGCAGCTATTTTGAGATGCTCAGGTACTCAATAAACTTCAAAGCGTGAAACCTCTAATTGAGCATTTGAACTCCATACGAAACCGGTGGGAGGAAGTGTTGTTAACACATCTAAGGATTGGCCACTCTCGTGTCACACGTAGCTACCTTTTGAAGGCTGAGAGTGAACCTTTTTGTTCTTTCTGTGGGAGTGTTCTGACAATGCATCTCTTTTTAGATGACTGCACGTATTTTAACACACTTCGTTTAAAGTATTTTAATGACTTACCTCTTGACCGAATAATCGGGAAAGAAGTCAATGCTAATTGATTTCATTATTTGAAGGAAACAGGTTTTTATCATCAAATTTGATAATACCCTTGTATTTTAATGTGGTGGTGTATTTAATTATGGCAAAGCACACTAGGGCTATCAGCCTAAGGGGAGAGATGCCTTCGTGGAGGACTTTCTAAGGGAAACTGGCTCATATCCACGTTACACGTGGGGAAAACCACAAAAACTCCCATGCAGCCAGCCCGTTCGCAGGATTCGAACCTCGGACTGAACTACCAGTGTTCAGCGACTTTACCGCTCGGCCGCTGGTGGGCGCGTATTTTAATGTAATTTAAACACACATTTCATATTTTTATATAAATCATGAGTCACTGTTTCACATTTCATATTTTTATATAAATCATAAAAAACTTCATTTAAATATTCATCATTTTATTACTTCTTTTCATTTTATATGTCTGTTGTGTAAAATTTCTGATTGAGCTTAGTTGTTTTTTGTGTTTTAATTGTATACTTTCGACATGCACCTGGCTCTTATAACCTTTCCAGGTTGTGTGCCAATTAAACCACTAAGCTTATTGTGACAAATTTCAGACTTAAAAGCTAAAACTCTCTTTAGCATTGTTTCAAAGTAAAATCCAATTTCATTTCATTGAAAATATCATAATTTAGTAATCTTTTTATAAATTTAGTAAATCGCCCATTGCTGAATATTATCTTTTTCTGTGCTTACACTTGCTACATGTGATGTGAATAACTATTCTGTACTTTTCAGAATTTCTCATTATCCATGTAATGCAGAAAAATTCTCATTTTGAAAATCTTTGCTAAGATTATAGTTTTGTATTGTAGTAACTCGCAGATGTACATATATTTGAGGTACAGACTTCCTTAACACATTAAGTGCCACTTGCACAACATACGTTAGCATAACAGGCCACTTGTACACTGGTTATCATAAATTAAGGAAAAATCACAAAAATAGCGATAACTTGCTCAAAAATAAGCCAAACCATGTAAAATTTGAATATGTTGCCAAGTAAGAGTAGCCGAGTAAAGCTGCGATATGCAAATTAGCGGTGCTGCTTTCGGAATATGTCATCTGTGAGCAGCATAAAAGTCCATGTTTGAGAGTAAGCCCACATATTTCACTGTGACAGTCACATCAGAAATCTGAGGTAGCCAATTCGTAACGATGACCTCCAGGCATCATTTGCCTGCAGAACTGCGATAGAGAGCCATTGGGAGACTAGAGGCAGGACAAAGTCAAACAGAAGTGGCCAGATGGCTAAATGTGAGTCCTTCTGTGGTCCATAGACTTTGGACGCAATTTCAAACCACAGATTCTGCATCTAGGAGGTTCAGCCAAGGATGATCAACTGCTATGACGAGCATCGATGATCGATATTTGACATTATGTGCACGCAGGAATAGAACTGCTACTCCAACTCTTCTTAGATCCTCCCTTGCTGCAGCCACCGAAAGGTTCATGTCAACGTCAACTTTGCGTAGAAGACTTCACGAAGGAGGTCTGTATGCGAGGCAACCAGCCATTTGTGTGCCGCTCACATCACGCCATAGGAGGGACCGTTTTCAGTGGGCACGATAACATGTCCACTGGACTCCTGATCAATGGAGGGCGGTTCTTTTTACGGATGACTCCAGGTTTAGTCTAGAGAGCGATAGTAGGCGTCATTTGATATGG